CTCTCTCTCTCTCTCTCTCTCTCTCTCTCTCTCTCTCTCTCTCTCTCTCTTTCTCGTTGTTTTATCTCTCTTTCGAAAATTAAGGATATAAACAAAATACATGAAACTTACGCCCAAGGTTGTGTGTCCTCCTCCTCAACGTCGCTGAATTGCCCATCCTCGAATTTTTCCGACATGATTGTATAAGGTTATAACCTAAGTTTCTCTGTCGTCGGGCTGCGTGACTTCGTGGTGAGACGGTTGCTCCGTTGTCTGCTTATATGTGATTTTCTCTTTTGGAGCGCACTATTTACGTCTGAACTTACCTGAGAAAATCTTTGAGCAATTAATCTTGTATTAATAGACTTGCACACCGTGCTTGCACGCGATTCTGTAATAACTAATAATGAATAAAAATTATTACCAGAACGGAGTAACACTAGTGTCACTAGTCCATTCGTCACGTCAAGTTCGGTTTTTAATTGGTTGTTAGTGACTCTTTATATTTTCCTACTCTTTTGTGACTTCTATACATTTTACGTTTCGTGGTTAAACCCAGAAAGAGATCGTTTCTTTTGTTTACGTCAATATTTAAACTACAAAGTTATGTTGAGATGACAGAGAGTAAGCATCTTTCGATAATTCTCGTAAAAATACTGTTCTCTGACACACTTATAATTTGTTTCAACTTTATGTTGATATATTTTTGTTTTTTATCGAACTGATATCGTCGAATCGATTACGCCTTTTAATTTATCATAAATTCGGGAAATATTAAATTATTTATTATATACATTAATTGTAATTAAAAACTCCTTTTCTGAACTATTTACTGTATGAGAGTACAACATTGAATACCATATCTTTTAACCATTAATGCTAACAGGTGCAATATTTTTAAATACTAATTTATTTTTTTTTTGTATTAACATTATTAATTATTTTATGTAAAGCTGTATATTAAATAATTTGTATAAATAGAGGTTTATAAACGGGGATATAAAAAATATACTCATTTACAAGAGTATTACAATTTTATTTACTTTGTTTTTCTTCTTCACTAATAAAGTTAAGAATATATAATTAATAATTTCGTATAAACACTTAAAAAAATATTTTTCTAAACTATTTTTGACAACAACAATTCAAACTTATGCGCTTGAAAATGTATAGCTAAGTGTCAAACAATTCAGAGTGACAATATTCCATCATGGAAAGTATCATGCGGTCTATGCAAGAGTGCAATGCTATTCGTTATCCATCATATAGAACTGCTGCAAAAATGCAAATATTACATAGAGAATTGAATAGTAAGTAATCAATTTTATCTGATCTTTTGTTGAATAAAATATCACTGATTTTACTCAAATTCTTTTATTCTTATTTAGTGATACATGTACAGCTGGAATTAATAGCAGGAGTATTTGAACGTCATAGGCTGTCCATCACTGAAAATTGTGTCAACTTAGACCCAAGTGAAATTGAGGATGTTCTATCTGACATCTATTTTGCTGCGCAGAAAGAAAGTAATTTCAATTTTGACGTTGATCTTGTAACCAAGCTTGCCACAAGTTATATCCTGAATACTTTTGACAAGTAAGTTTTTATCTCTCTATATAAAATAATATTACTGTATTTATAATCTCTCAATTTTATAATTAACTGTTCTTCTCTTTAAATATACACATATACTCTTAGTAATAGTTGTATTAAAAAGAAAATTTTGAAACAACATGAAAATGTGTTTAACTTTGCAGACAAAATACTGGAAACATTTTAGTGTTTTCAGTAAAAGTTGCATTAGTATTGCTGTGTAGTGGTAAATTACAAGAAAAATATGGATATCTATATCAACAATTGGCTGATCACAATGCGTGTTTATCTCGAGCTGGTTTGCATACCTTATTAACAAATATCTGCAAAATAACAGAAATGCTAGGAGAAAATATAGCGTATGGATATGAACAGATTCAGTCACATATAGATGCCTGTTTTATAAAGGTATGAACAAAACTAATTTTGTGTTATCCATTAAAACGAGCTCTTTAATCATTTTGTCAATCCATTTTAGTCTCAGGGTGGTCTTGGGATTACTGAAGTAGAATTTGCTGCATGGATTATGCAAGAACCTCCATTATTAGTCTGGATAACAACATTCAATCGAATAAAATCTGCAGAACATAGTAAGTGACAAAGTTATCGCGTGTATTTAAATATAATAATAAACAATTTTTACTTGCAGTTGTACATAATATCAGATGTTCCTCATGTAAAGTAACACCGGTACAGGGACCAAGATACACATGTTTAAAATGTACGGGATATCATCAATGCCAGGACTGTTTTCTCTTAGGAAAAATATCAAATAAACATAAATTGAAACATCCAATTCGTGAATTTTGTGTGAAGGTATAATGTTTAAATTCATTTTCTCTCTAATGTATGAAACATGTTACTCAGAAACAATGCTTTTATAGACTTCACATCGTGAAATTACAAAGCTGATTCTTGAACTGATCAGAAATAA